GAGAGAGAGAGAGAGCACAGTTCAGCTTAGTTAGCTAGGCGACAATTAGTTCTTACTTCCCCTTGGCTTCCAAGGAGAGGGTTAAGGTTACCCATTTTCACCATGGACTTTGCAAATTGATCAAAGAAGAGGTCTTCATTTTCTGCATAGCTCTGGACCAAATTCATGGTCTTGCCCCCACTTCAGTAACTAGCACCATATCTGAATTCAGAAGCGACTTTCCCCAAAGGAGCAGCTTGTAATAGTAGTTATCGAACTTTGTGGGGCTCACCATGTCCAAAGGAGAGAGATTATTGTCTCCACCTGAACTTGGGCAACATGATGTCAGCCTGTTATAGAAATCTCCCTCTAGAGAAGCATCTGGTTGCCCATTTCCATTCTGGTTGTACAGTCTCTGCCTGAAAGTCACACATCTTGCCATTCCAAGTGTGTGACTCCCTGAAACAAGGTTAAAAAATAAAGGCTTAGATGGGTGAAGTGATGAGATCACTGTGAAGTTTACTTGTTTAGTGACCGATATGGTCACCGTTGGGAATTCCGCTGTATTTAGCTTCCATTATATGCTCCAGTTTTGAATTTAAACCATTTAGCTGCCGACTTATGCTCATGGTTTGAAACTCTGTTAAATGAGGAGGTAGATGATACAGAGAATTATCTCTCGTACAAAAACACTGGCGCCTATCCAAATGGAAAAACATGATCATCATTTTAAACCGAGTGGTACATGATCATGGTTTGAAATTTTGCCTAATCTAGTGGCGTATAAGAAAATATATTGAACTATGAGGCTCATACATGATCATGTTTTGCCAAAACTATAGCCATTAATATGATTGTCAGTTACATAATCACTGTCGGAACTTTGACAAAATTAATGGCTCATACATGAATATGTAATAAGAATAGTGATCCTATAGGACCCTCATCCATTCATGTGTATAGGACCTCAAAGGATTACACTAAAGGTGGCACGGATCTTTAAAAAAGTTATCACATAAGTGTAAAACTTGATTTTTTTATAGATCCGTACTAAATTTAATGGTGATCTTTTAGGATCCTACACACATAAGTGGGAGAAGGTCCTTATTGGATAATTTTTCATGTAATAGTACCGATATTAAAGATTATGGAATGTTTAGCAGGTTAAAAATGAGCTGATGAGCTGATTTTAAAAATTGCAACCCGTGTCTACTGAAGATATTCGAAAATGAAGGGACTTTTGGTCCACCTAGGATAGGTTTGGCCCCCCTATTTTGCAATTAAAAAGAGGTGGATTATTCCATCTTCAAGCAAGAATTAAGGGCTACTAGATTTTGTTCGCTATATTGTTTAAAGGGTGCGGTTTGTATAGAGCCTAGGCTCTAAACAATAAAATTAGAGCCTACTTTATGTCGAGAAATGTGTTTTTAATACGGAAAATCTTTGTGATTGTTTTAAAATATATTTTTATATTTATTTATAAATTTTAAAGCTTAAAAAATAGTATAGATAGACAAATCTATAAAAACATGAAAATCTCGAAAATTGACGGTCAAAAAATACGTTATAAAATGTACTATTTCCAAAACTTGAAATCCGTTTTTTTACCTTGTCCATGCATCTTGATGGCGAGATGATCAATTTAAAAATATTTGAGCATCAAAACAACTTCTAATGAACGTTTTGAGAGAGGCTCAAATTTGACTGTTCAGAGCCTTGGCTATATATAAACTTTTCCCATTTTTAAATAAGACAGGCCCGAACAATGCGTCTCAATTTGCAAGACATGTAATTGGGTTGGTATATTTGGCCTTCATTTGTTTGGGGCAACGGTAAAATAATTATGTAACGGAGATGCTACCATATGCATGAGAGAGAGAGAGAGAGAGAGAGAGAGAGAGAGAGATGCCTGATAGTGCAACCAGGTCGACTTCATCAAGCCCCTGTTTACTGAATTGTTGGAGAAGGGTTTGGAAAGTAGAGTTTGGTGCGGGCACGTTGGCGTCTGAAAGGCTTAGGCTTGCTGTCCTCGAGTCTCTCCTCCCCACTGCAACCTCCCAGCTCGGTCCACCACTCTACACCATCAAAACAATGCCCCAACTTAACCTACTTAAAAATAACTCTTAGAAAGTAAAGGTTGAGATTAAAAATAACTCTTAAAAAGTAAAAATTGAGATTCTTACATCTTTAGCATGTGAAATTACAATAAAATAAGTATTTCACATACTCATCCCTAATTGCACACTCTCTCTCTCTCTCGATACAATTGGAGCGTATGTTATTTTACCAGTACACTAGAAGCTCTAGCAGCAAGGGCGAGAAGGTCAGCACATGAAACAACTCCAGGACATACTGCTTCAAGTTCAGCCTTTACCAAATCAACCACTTCAAAACCTCTCACTGAATTAAGATTTGGGCCCGACTTCTTCTCGCTCGCCACCGATTCGCTGTTGTCTAACAGAAGCGAACCATCACAACCCTAAAAAAATTCATGGTGAGAGAACAAACTAAACGTCAGGACCTTCTTTTGAGAGAACCACTGAGGGAGGCCCAAAACAACATATTTAAGAAAAAGAGGCCTACCTTCCCAACATGGATAAATGTTCAACATTAACTGGCTTCGTAGAGCTAAAAAAAGGATGGTTGAGTTCAGAGTTGGTTCAAATAGGAAGACCAAGAGGCTTTTCAAGATTCGACTGGTCACCATACGGTTAGGGATTAATCAGAACTGGTGGGACCGATGGTCGAATCAATAATATCATATATGAAAAAATAAAAGAAAAAAGAATAAAAGTTTAGAAACATGGACCGCATCAGAAAATATTTGCTCAACTTTGTTTTAACCAAAAATCAGCTACTTTGACTAATCAAATATCAATTTTGACTAGTTTTCGATCAATCTCGAAATTAGAAAGACCGAGACACCAATCAGCTGTCCTACCAAGGGGACCAGCCCATCTTGGTCCAAATCTTGACAACTATAGACAAAATCTTGTGATATCAGGGAGAGAGAGAGAGACCTGCACAAAGCAATCATGAAAGTGAAGCCTAAGCAATGAAGCAGGAAGCCTTGGATCCTGGGCAAAGGCGTTCTCCAACACTCTAATCACAACCTCATTTGCTTGAGGGCATGTATAGTCGTAGAAATAAGGACTCAGTCCATGGTAATTGTAACTATAATTCACATTGGATCGGCTACCATCCCCATCGCCCCAATAATAATAGTCGGGAAAAAAAGCTAGAGAGAGGGAGAAGGAGAGAGAAACCATGAGAAGACACAGTGAAGCTTTAAATCCATCCATGGCTATTGCAGTTTCACCTATTCTTGGATGGTTATGTAAGGCTGGGCACAAGGGATATATATAAGGCCCAGATGACCCTCCCATGTTTGGTCACTAACTCTATTATGATCATCCATAACACTCGGAGAGAGAGAGAGAGTGAGTGTTTTTTTTCACCCTAGTAAGGACAAGCATACCGTTCATAAAGTTGAATTACATTATTAACCTAATTCAATTTAATAATGAGAAACTAATCAAAATGTATTTTAATGGAAACTTATCAAAATGTATAGAGATGGCCAATTAAATGTTTACCCGATTCAATTTTAAAAGCCCTATCATCGAAATGTAGATTGTTATCAAGAGTTGAAATAGTTGAAAATTGATAAAAAGTTAAAAAGTTTTGAGTAAATCGATTTTGAGCTGTTAGGAGCAGTGCAGTGTTGCCCGGGAGTCCTTTTCGATTTGGCCAGAAAAAACGAAGCAATTTGATGTTTCAGCCAATTTAGAGGAAGACTTTGGAATTTTTAAGGTTTTTAATATTAATAAAATATATATTAAAATAATAAAAATTTTAAAACAAAAAATTCAATAAAAAATACAATTATATGCTTTGGTTGTTGGGCTAGAAGTTTAAGCCGAGGAGGCAGAATCACATCGAAGAGAGCCGAAGTACAAAATTAATTTTTTAAATGACAATTTTGTGCTTCTGTTGAAGAGGCCAATCAGAACGAATTGAGCTGAAGTGGCCCAAAGCTATTTGAGCTTCGTTTCACTTTGGTCTAGACAAAAAATCCCTTCCGAAAGATTATTTTGCTAAACTCACGCACAAGCTTTTCCAAAAAGATGACCAAAGAGATTTCGGCCTTTTCCCATCTTTTTTCAGAATTTTTAAGTTGATCAATCCACCACGTTTGTGAAGTGACTAGGAAATAAAATAGGTAAAAAAGATATTAAAAGAGTAGTGGAGTGGTGCAGTTGTTGACTTGGTGTGGGTAATGCCTTCTCCACTTACCATGAATCTCATTGTGTGGAGTGGTTTATAACTCCAAAAGGTGCATTAGACAGGACAATGCATAGCTTAATTGCCACCACTTTGAACTATGTATTTAAAAATAAGCGCGTATAGCATGCTCCCGCAGGAGCATGTTGTATAACAAATCCCTCAGGAAAAACAACTATTTGGCTGGACTCTTTTGATTCAAAATTTTGAGATGCAAGAATTACTAGATAATCGTTTTCAAGTTTTTTTTGTTTTTTTTTTGGATTTTGAGATCCAAGTATCACTAAATTTTGTTTTCGAAAAATTGGGCAGTTCCAATGCAATATTGGGATGTCATTTTCTTTAAGCGCATAGAGGGTGTTCATTGGGTTATACAGATTACATCCATGACATTTGCGATCTAAAAAATATTTTTAGAGTGAGTTTTGTTTTAGGGAATAGACGGAGAGTATAATCGAACAGGAGTAAGAAATATTCGTGCTTTAAAAATTGGCGGCATGTTTTGCCTTTACGGAATTTGGCAAAGTCGTATAAAAGCGCATCAGAAATTGCTCTCCCCGGCATTGAAATTCCGGTGATGTCCTACAAATATTCTTCCAACTCAGATTGTGGAATTTGAAGTTCAAAAAATAGTGCAAAATGCGGCCGATCACAAAAAACGGTAACATACAGTGTAAGAAAATGTGTTGCAGGGTCAAATATTTTAAGAATTTTTTAAAATCCTTTTGGCTTAAGTTGTAAAAACCATTTTCAAAAGGTTGAAGTCTATTTCTTTAGAGAAATAATAAAAAAAATTCTTTTTTATAAGGTTATTAGGAATAAATCCCAAAATTTTCTTCACCACTTTTCACATTTTTTTGACCCAAATACCCTTCCCGGAAGTATTAGGTCCATGAAGGCAGTACGGTAAACGCAGAACCGTGATGGTCATGATGGGTTCAAACGTTGTTGGTGTGGGGCTTAAGTCATCACGTTTCTATTAGGACCATGACGATAGGGCAGCATTAGAATCATCATGGTACTTTCATAACCGTGTTGATCAACTTGAGTATCTCGGTTCTTGTACCTCCGTGATATCCTTCACGGTTTAATTAGAGTTGTGATAGTTGAATAACTCATTACGGTGCTCTAAGTGCCATGATGCTTCAAATCAAGGATTAAAAAATCACCGAGTTGAGCAGGACTCACCCGGTTCGACTGGAAAATCGCTAGAGAACGAGCCGGTTCCACGAATAAACTGGGAATCGCCTGTTTCCAGAAAGAACCGGACGATTCCCAACAGTGACTCGCGAGTCAGGCCGAGTCAGACCGCATCATCCGCAAGAACACGGGCTGCATATTATTCTTCACGGGATTTCAATTTTTTTTGTCATTTTGTTATCGATTTTCAACTTTTTCAGCCTTATGAATGAATCTTACAGGCTTTAATTCAAATTTCGCATCAATTTCAATCAATAAAACGAATTAAAAAGCACCATTTTTTATCAACAAATTTGGATCAAAGAGTGAGTTTTAGGGTTTCTGCCATTTCACTGATTTCAATGGAAAGAACGCATCATTTTTTGCAAAATTTCAGGGTGAGTGATCGTAAGAGTGTTGATCAGAATTTTGTGTTCATAATTTGTGATTATCTTGGAGGAATACATATCAATTTTGAGTTTAACGGCACAGGTGCACGAAGAACAGATAAGAACTGTGTTTTTTTTTTTTCCTCCATGCGATCAAATTCAGTCAATATTTTGTAAATCATGTATTAAATTTATAGGATTTTGATTCGTAGTAGTGTTGTTTATCATCACATGTATTCAATTTGATTATATTTATTCAATTTGAGTTGGATTTTATAGAAAACAAGAGTGATGTCTGTTAAAAAAAAATGGACTGTGTTTTTTTTTTCCGCCATTTTCTCAATTTCAGTAAATATTTTGCAAAGAATGTGTTGAATTTATAGGGTTTTGATTTGTTATAGTGTTGTTTATCATTACATGTATTCAATTTTATCTGATTTATTCAATTTGAGCTTCATTTTTTATTTTGAATGACTGATATCTGTGAAGAACTGCTTTTTTTTTTTTTTCCTCAATTCAATCGATTTTATTTAATATTTTGATGATAATGTATTAATATTATAGGGCTTTGATTCCTTATAGTGTTTTTTATCAAAATATGTACTCATTTTGATGTAATTTATTCGATTTGAGGCGGATTTTTGAGTTGGAATGACTGATGTTAGGTTGGTTTGTAAAGAACTGGGTTTTCTTTTTTTATTATTCATGATCAATTTTTTTGAGAAATCGTGATTTTTCGAAAATTTATTTTTGATTATCATTAGGAACTAAACAATATTTTTAATTTTTATTGTTAAATTTCTAGTTCAAAAAATTGCATGTTGATAGATTATTTATACAAAAAAATATATTTTATTATATTTTTAATGCAAAGCTGTATTTTTTAATTTTTTGTTAATGTAAAAAAATACATTAACAAATACATGTTGTTAAACTGTATTATATTTTTAATGCGGTTTTGAAGTATTTTTAATTTTTTAAATTTTTAATGCAAAAATTACATGTTGTTAAACTGTATTATCATGAGGAATTAAAGTGAATATCATTGTAAAAAAATCATGGCATGTTATTATATTTTTAATGTAAAAATGTATTTTTTAATTTGTTGTTAATGCAAAAAAATACATTAACAAATACATGCTGTTAAACTGTATTATATTTTTAATGTAGTTTTGCATGAAAGAAATATTTTTAATTTTTAAAATTTTTAATGCAAAAAATACATGTTGTTAAACTGTATTATCATGAGGAATTAAAGTGAATATCATTGTAAAAAAATCGTGACATGTTATTATATTTTTAATGCAAAACTGTATGTTTTAGTTTGTTGTTAATGCAAAAAAATACATTAACAAATACATGCTGTTAAACTGTATTATATTTTTAATGCAGTTTTGCATTAAAAAATTATTTTTAATTTTAAAAATTTGTAATGCAAAAAATACATGTTGTTAAATTATATTATAATGAGGAATTAAAGTGAATATCATTGTAAAAAAATCGTGGCATGTTATTATATTTTTAATGTAAAACTGTATTTTTTAATTTGTTGTTAATGCAAAAAAATACATTAACAAATACATGCTGTTAAACTGTATTATATTTTTAATGCAGTTTTGTATTAAAAATTTATTTTTAATTTTTAAAATTTTTAATGCAAAAAATACATGTTGTTAATCTGTATTATCATGAGGAATTAAAGTGAATATCATTATAAAAAAATCGTGGCATATATGAGAATTATATTATCTTGTAATTTTTAATTTTATTATTAAATTTTTAATGCAAAAAATGTATGTTCTTGATAATTGAATTGTAGCTATGTTGGCGCTTGTTTTTTTTTATATATTATCTTTCATATTTGTAATTGAGATGTATAAATATTTGTGATCATTTCAATCGAGTTGAGATTGTGCCGACTATATCATTGTAAATTTTATTTGTGGCATTGTGAATGACTATATCATTGTAAATGTTTTTTGTGTCAAATATACGTGTAGTGGCATTATGGATGACTATATTAATGTAATTTTTTTCTTGATTCTAAGTGTGACTTATACATAAATTTTTTTATCTATAATGTTGCATAAATATTTTTTTTTCTCAGTAGGAACTAATTCATGTTTGTCGAAGAAGTCCATATGCATTAGCATTGTGAATTACTATACCATTATAAATATATTTTTTATTGATACTATATCAATGTAAATTTATTGTTCTATATGTAGTAGCTGATATAAGCTATTTTTATCTATAATGTTGCATAAATAAATTATTTTTCTCAGTAGGAGTTAAAATATTTTTGTCAATAAAAGTATTTTGCATTAACAACAAATATAACTTCATGAACCACCCTTACATATTATCACTACACATGGTGATTATTTTTCATGTTCAATTGTCAGGTTAATTTTTAAACTTTTACATTTTAAAGTTGAACCATGGCAAGATCTACGGAAGACCCTGCATGACAACATGGGGTCAGACTTGATCCTAACAAAAAAGACAAAATTATTTGTAATTAC